TGCAAATGTAACATTAATATCCTGAAGGAGAGAAAGCCTCTCCTTCAAAAATACATTGATGACAACGCTAGTTTGGAAATCCAAGCTCTTTACGCAGTGCAGGCACTTTTTGTTCAGTTTGATCATCCTCCAAGTAAGAATGATTAATGAGCTAAAATTTCCTTACTTCTACACATAGAATGCTTATTGAAACAGTTAGAAGTTGTTTAAAGGAAGTTTCACAGTTCGGTTCACGTGCGAGATGTGCATTTGCCCATTGTCTTTCGACTACTTTTTTTAAACCAGTTGGAAGTGAGTGACAGTACGTCTAAGGTATTCAGGCTCGTTATAAAGTTGCAGATCGATCCCCATTTATCTCTGCTGTTCCCCCGAGACATAATGTATATGATGAGAATGGTAAGATTTCATCCCTGTCGTGCTAAAAAACAAACAATTTGCACAACGGCAACTATTTTTATATAGCGTCACAAGTATATGGCAAACAAGCTGTAAACCTCAGAGCTCTCTAGTCGGGACCAAAACCAAATTTAACAGCTTTAGTCATCACTGTTTAATGACGTCATAGATTCGCAAATAAACATTTGTTGATAAAGTAGGACTGATAAAGCCATCTTGGTATCGGAACCTGCAGTTAGCAATGACGTCAGTACAAAAAATATAACATTTCCTTCCAACTTTTAAACAGACAGTTTTTAAGTATTCAAAACACACCATTGAAAGAGTGGCTACTGTGGAAACGTCATTTATCATAGAAAAACGGTTAAGATTGGAAATTGGCTACGTAGTCTCTTGAACATTGTAAGCTTCAGTTTTTTGTAACAATCGTAAAAACGTTATAACTTCGGCGGAGCGCGAAGTAAAGCTTTCGCGACGCTCAGGAATGTCCCAAAGTTGCCTTTTTTGGGGACGAGATTGGGCATGCAAAGTTTGTAAGTATTCGGCTTTATTCGGCTATTTGACGAAGTGAGCGCCGAATTAGTTGGAGATATCTCGAGATCAGTTCGATTTCTTTGTTATTGGAGGAAGAAAGAATTATTTTTTTGGCTTGCCCGAGGTTTGAACCGACTCAATGTGTGACCCATCAGATCAGATGAGACCCTACTTTGCGGGATTAGCCGATTGCACCACCGCTACCAAAGTTAACTTGAGGTGTGAGAAATAGCTATAAGTTATGCACGATGTGCGGGGTAAGCTGGTGACCTTTCGGCTTGTTGGTATTTAGTATTCTGGCTAGAAATATTGACTTCAAAAGTATTTTACACAAAAAACATTGAATTAATTTGGGCTAGTAGCTTTAAACTATGAGCGAAAATCGAGATACAAGAACAACTTTCAGTGCGTCTCACTGCGAAGATGAGTTTACTTTAATATGTTGAGCCATATGTTTCTCCAAAGTGCGTTTCAGTTTGGCTTTTTATCGTGGAAACCTTGTCTTTTCCCCCTGGAATCTAGCTTGGAATTACCTTGATACACCGTGGAAAACCCAAATTTTTTATTTTCTCGGTTAAATTTCCCGCCAATAGATCAAAGTTTCACTGGCAGTTCTGTACTACGGCCCGAAGTAAACTTATAATAATTTTCACGCGAACTAGTCTCCTTCGCAGCCATTTTTAGCCTAAAAACGGCTGCGATGGACACTAACTGTACTTCCGTGTTTGTTGTTTTGTTTTGTTTTGTTTTTTGTTTTTTTTTTCTAAATCCAGCGGCCGAAATAATGCGAAGTATGATTTTCAATACACTTTTAAAAATAACACCACACAATATGCAAAAAAAGAAGAAGAAGAAGAAAGGAAAGAGCAAAGTAGGGACCTTTACGACGATATTTGCGGTGGGTTACCGATCCAGTTCCTAACCCTGCCCGACAGGGCTTAACTTTAGTGGCGCTACTAAAAAAACCGAGTTTCGCTAGGGTTATTGCGAGATACGTATTTCTAATTCATGTTGCAATGTTGTACATGAATTATCCTCAGTGTGGAGATTGTGAAATTTCAGCAACTTTTGTAAGGGATTGTACTGATGTTAGTTTATAGTTACGTTGCTGGATAAGGTGTGGAGTGGAAAGTGTTGTTGTAGAGAAAATAAAAGAAGAGGAAATAAGATCTCGCCATGCGCAATTATTTATGACAGAAATTATAATCGAATTGGGTCACAGTCATGCACCTAGCAGACTTCCGGTGAAGAGGTTTGTTACACAGAAGGAGAAAAGTAAGGGTATTTGTATGGAAGGGTATCTGGAAAAATATCATCTCTTACTATTCCTCCGCATTCACAATTATCCACAACCACGACGCCGAAGTGTTTGCTCCTATAGCGTCTTGTTCTGTTAAAATTCACCCTAATATGTCTCTCCTTTTCTGTATGCAGGTTTTGTCAAATCCTATTTTGAGAGTTTATATGATGAAGAGATTATAGCAGAAGATTCTTTCAAAGCCTGGGAAAACAGCTCCGACGAAGAACCCGGCAAAAGTGTGACTGTTACTGCCGCTTCCCAGTTTTTTCGCTGGCTCAAGATTGCCCCAGAGGAGACTGGGAAGACTGCAGATGAAGTGGGTAACAAGGAAGCACAACAAAGTACAGAATCTGCTGGAGAGGTACCCGTTGATCAACAAGTTACTGAGAGTGAGGTATTGGTTTCCTTTTATTTCCAGTTTTTTTTTAATTCGTAACTTTCTTTTTTTTCTTTAGAATATCAAGTTTGCTCTTGGGCAAGGCAAGTCACCTCTTAACACTGGTTCATCTAAGCAGCATTTTGCTAGAATACAAGAAGAACTTAGGACTCTTATATTGAAAAGAAAAGCAAGAAATGATGAGGTGTTCAACTGGATTGATGTAAGTGAAATGACACGTGAAAGTTTAGTGAATTATGTCAGTGGTCTAATGACGTATGTTTTTTTAAGTATGTTAACCAGCGATCAGGCAGTCCTTCATCCCTTTGGCCGTCCGCAGACTTTCTCGCTCTGCCGGAAAAAAAGAACGCCTGATGGTTGGTTTTAAGTATGTTTGTCTCTGTTGCAGGTTGGTGGACCAAAAACGTTCAAGCTACTATACTATTAATGATATCAAGGAACGAATGAGATTTTGGAGTCATAAAATTACATCGCTTAAGATCAAACAAAGCGACTTTTAAGACTTTCATCTTGGTTCTTCATATTTTCTTATCTTTTGAATTGACTAAAGGGCAGCGATCTACTTTTAAAGGGTGTGGCTGCTGCCGTGAAAATGTGTGACCTTATTCAACCGCAAACCATACATGTTACTATTTCATAACTGGTGAAATGTTCCAGCTGTACAAAAAACACATATTTGGAAGGTTTGCAAAATAAATTGAAATAGCTATGTTATATTTAGCTATTGACCTCAAACTTGGAATTAAGCATAATTGTGTTTTTAGATGTCCGAAAAACTAGTGCTTTTAATCTCGTAAACGCTAGTAGGTTTCATTCTGTGACTGAACTTTTACGTGCAATCTGCGTGCACAACCACATCATGCACACTTTCTGCTGTATAATCATAGTAGTAACTGAAACATATTTAGTTTTGTCAGTGCTTTCAGCAAAGATTTTAATTCTCCTACAACCAATAATTTTGATAGAATTGGAAGAAGCCAAAAGCAAAGTTTGATATGTTGATGTTCATTCTTCTATTTAAAAATGGTTGAATTTGCATGCTGAAGGCAAGACAGAGAAAATTGAATCTGCAGCAGTTAAGATAGACTCAAGTGAGCGCAGCTTTCACGTTTTTAGCCGTTATTTTTTTTACTTCATTGTTCTCATGTACAACAATACTAAATTCTGGACAATTTAGAGCGATAAATTAGTCTGTCTAAAACTTGGGTAAAATGGGTATACTCATGTGTTTATCTAAGCAATAAAAGCTTTTATTCACGTGTTTCGGTCCATAAGTGCAATAAAATATATAGCCCAAGCACGTTTTACGTGCTTATGTTTTTAATGGTTTTTAAATTATTTTACTGTTAAATTTTACCTTACTTATCATTCCTCAGGTTTACCTTTCGTCGTAATTCACACATTTATCGGTATTTCTATTTCTTGTTTTTTTCTCTGCAGAGGAATGTTTCCTCGGAAGATGCAAAGGCGCCTCCATTTATTAGGGCCTTAGTAACAGTTGTTTGTGAAGGAGCAATGGAGAGAGGTAATTTTGTTTATAAACGTTCCTTTCTTTGCACTCTGTTTCGCTACGTTTCGGTATTTGTCACATTACGTCCTATTAGTGCTTTTTTTCTTTACACAGGCTCCATATTCTCTGATTCTCCATTTTGTACTATGTAGGCTCGTTTTCTGTTGAGAATTTTCCATTTTTATAATAACACAAATCATGTCTAATTGCTTATGCCATGCTCATGCTGGATTACACGTTTGCTGGTAACCCAGTAGCTTGCATTGTGTCTCAAAAACTAGTTCAAAAACCAGTAATTTAAACAAAAATGATAAGAATCCCAACTGGGCGGAGACAAACCAGTTGGCTGTTCATTGCAGTGGCCGAGGGATTGAATTCGGGACTATGTAGAAACAAATCCATCCTGCGGTAAGGCGGGGATTGAACTCGAGGCCTCTAAATTTCACGTCCAGCACTCTAACCACGCGTTCACTCTGTCACTCTGCCTCCCTTTATCAAAAACCAAGGGAGCAGGAGTTGCACATGGTTAATGTCAATGTCATGGAGGTATTTTCGTCTGTTAAGTTTTTTGTTCATGAAAACGTAGTGCGTACTTCCTTTGTGAATGGGCTCATACGCTGGGGTAAAAATCTGCCATGTAATGCAGTACTTTTAATGATGTGTCTGCAAAAATAAGAAAAAACCATTAATGGTAGTGCTTCCTGATGAAATTTTGTTGATGTCTTGTTCATATCGTTATAGGAGTATTTATGGTAAGGCGCTAAGTAATGACTAAAGCACAGAATTGAACTAACACAGCAATATCCTCGTGACCTTGCCCCTTTAAGACTGGTTCACATTTTTGCTTTCCTTCTTTAACAGAAGATGGAGGCGTCTGCAAATGTAACATTAATATCCTGAAGGAGAGAAAGCCTCTCCTTCAAAAATACATTGATGACAACGCTAGTTTGGAAATCCAAGCTCTTTACGCAGTGCAGGCACTTTTTGTTCAGTTTGATCATCCTCCAAGTAAGAATGATTAATGAGCTAAAATTTCCTTACTTCTACACATAGAATGCTTATTGAAACAGTTAGAAGTTGTTTAAAGGAAGTTTCACAGTTCGGTTCACGTGCGAGATGTGCATTTGCCCATTGTCTTTCGACTACTTTTTTTAAACCAGTTGGAAGTGAGTGACAGTACGTCTAAGGTATTCAGGCTCGTTATAAAGTTGCAGATCGATCCCCATTTATCTCTGCTGTTCCCCCGAGACATAATGTATATGATGAGAATGGTAAGATTTCATCCCTGTCGTGCTAAAAAACAAACAATTTGCACAACGGCAACTATTTTTATATAGCGTCACAAGTATATGGCAAACAAGCTGTAAACCTCAGAGCTCTCTAGTCGGGACCAAAACCAAATTTAACAGCTTTAGTCATCACTGTTTAATGACGTCATAGATTCGCAAATAAACATTTGTTGATAAAGTAGGACTGATAAAGCCATCTTGGTATCGGAACCTGCAGTTAGCAATGACGTCAGTACAAAAAATATAACATTTCCTTCCAACTTTTAAACAGACAGTTTTTAAGTATTCAAAACACACCATTGAAAGAGTGGCTACTGTGGAAACGTCATTTATCATAGAAAAACGGTTAAGATTGGAAATTGGCTACGTAGTCTCTTGAACATTGTAAGCTTCAGTTTTTTGTAACAATCGTAAAAACGTTATAACTTCGGCGGAGCGCGAAGTAAAGCTTTCGCGACGCTCAGGAATGTCCCAAAGTTGCCTTTTTTGGGGACGAGATTGGGCATGCAAAGTTTGTAAGTATTCGGCTTTATTCGGCTATTTGACGAAGTGAGCACTTCGTCAAATAGCTTTCGCGACGCTCAGGAATGTCCCAAAGTTGCCTTTTTTGGGGACGAGATTGGGCATGCAAAGTTTGTAAGTATTCGGCTTTATTCGGCTATTTGACGAAGTGAGCGCCGAATTAGTTGGAGATATCTCGAGATCAGTTCGATTTCTTTGTTATTGGAGGAAGAAAGAATTATTTTTTTGGCTTGCCCGAGGTTTGAACCGACTCACTTGTGTGACCCATCAGATCAGATGAGACCCTACTTTGCGGGATTAGCCGATTGCACCACCGCTACCAAAGTTAACTTGAGGTGTGAGAAATAGCTATAAGTTATGTACGATGTACGGGGTAAGCTGGTGACTTTTCGGCTTGTTGTTATTTAGTATTCTGGCGAGAAATATTGACTTCAAAAGTATTTTACACAAAAAACATTGAATTAATTTGGGCTAGTAGCTTTAAACTATGAGCGAAAATCGAGATACAAGAACAATTTTCAGTGCGTCTCACTGCGAAGACGAGTTTACTTTAATATGTTGAGCCATATGTTTCTCCAAAGTGCGTTTCAGTTTGGCTTTTTATCGTGGAAACCTTGTCTTTTCCCCCTGGAATCTAGCTTGGAATTACCTTGATACACCGTGGAAAACCCCAATTTTTTATTTTGCCGGTTAAATTCCCCGCCAATAGATCAAAGTTTTACTGGCAGTTCTGTACTACGGCCCGAAGTAAACTTATAATAATTTTCACGCGAACTAGTCTCCTTCGCAGCCATTTTTATCCTAAAAACGGCTGCGATGGACACTAACTGTACTTCCGTGTTTATTGTTTTGTTTTGTTTTGTTTTGTTTTTTGTTTTGTTTTTTCTAAATCCAGCGGCCGAAATAATGCTAAGTATGATTTTCAATAAACTTTTAAAAATAACACCACACAATATGCAAAAAAAGAAGAAGAAGAAGAAAGGAAAGAGCAAAGTAGGGACCTTTACGACGATATTTGCGGTGGGTTACCGATCCAGTTCCTAACCCCGCCCGACAGGGCTTAACTTTAGTGGCGCTACTAAAAAACCGAGTTTCGCTAGGGTTATTGCGAGATACGTATTTCTAATTCATGTTGCAATGTTGTACATGAATTATCCTCGGTGTGGAGATTGTGAAATTTCAGCAACTTTTGTAAGGGATTGTAGTGATGTTAGTTTATAGTTACGTTGCTGGATAAGGTGTGGAGTTGAAAGTGTTGTTGTAGAGAAAATAAAAGAAGAGGAAATAAGATCTCGCCATGCGCAATTATTTATGACAGAAATTATAATCGAATTGGGTCACAGTCATGCACCTAGCAGACTTCCGGTGAAGAGGTTTGTTACACAGAAGGAGAAAAGTAAGGGTATTTGTATGGAAGGGTATCTGGAAAAATATCATCTCTTACTATTCCTCCGCATTCACAATTATCCACAACCACGACGCCGAAGTGTTTGCTCCTATAGCGTCTTGTTCTGTTAAAATTCACCCTAATATGTCTCTCCTTTTCTGTATGCAGGTTTTGTCAAATCCTATTTTGAGAGTTTATATGATGAAGAGATTATAGCAGAAGATTCTTTCAAAGCCTGGGAAAACAGCTCCGACGAAGAACCCGGCAAAAGTGTGACTGTTACTGCCGCTTCCCAGTTTTTTCGCTGGCTCAAGATTGCCCCAGAGGAGACTGGGAAGACTGCAGATGAAGTGGGTAACAAGGAAGCACAACAAAGTACAGAATCTGCTGGAGAGGTACCCGTTGATCAACAAGTTACTGAGAGTGAGGTATTGGTTTCCTTTTATTTCCAGTTTTTTTTTTAATTCGTAACTTTCCTTTTTTTGTTTAGAATATCAAGTTTGCTCTTGGGCAAGGCAAGTCACCTCTTAACACTGGTTCATCTAAGCAGCATTTTGCTAGAATACAAGAAGAACTTAGGACTCTTATATTGAAAAGAAAAGCAAGAAATGATGAGGTGTTCAACTGGATTGATGTAAGTGAAATGACACGTGAAAGTTTAGTGAATTATGTCAGTGGTCTAATGACGTATGTTTTTTTAAGTATGTTAACCAGCGATCAGGCAGTCCTTCATCCCTTTGGCCGTCCGCAGACTTTCTCGCTCTGCCGGAAAAAAAGAACGCCTGATGGTTGGTTTTAAGTATGTTTGTCTCTGTTGCAGGTTGGTGGACCAAAAACGTTCAAGCTACTATACTATTAATGATATCAAGGAACTAATGAGATTTTGGAGTCATAAAATTACATCGCTTAAGATCAAACAAAGCGACTTTTAAGACTTTCATCTTGGTTCTTCATATTTTCTTATCTTTTGAATTGACTAAAGGGCAGCGATCTACTTTTAAAGGGTGTGGCTGCTGCCGTGAAAATGTGTGACCTTATTCAACCGCAAACCATACATGTTACTATTTCATAACTGGTGAAATGTTCCAGCTGTACAAAAAACACATATTTGGAAGGTTTGCAAAATAAATTGAAATAGCTATGTTATATTTAGCTATTGACCTCAAACTTGGAATTAAGCATAATTGTGTTTTTAGATGTCCGAAAAACTAGTGCTTTTAATCTCGTAAACGCTAGTAGGTTTCATTCTGTGACTGAACTTTTACGTGCAATCTGCGTGCACAACCACATCATGCACACTTTCTGCTGTATAATCATAGTAGTAACTGAAACATATTTAGTTTTGTCAGTGCTTTCAGCAAAGATTTTAATTCTCCTACAACCAATAATTTTGATAGAATTGGAAGAAGCCAAAAGCAAAGTTTGATATGTTGATGTTCATTCTTCTATTTAAAAATGGTTGAATTTGCATGCTGAAGGCAAGACAGAGAAAATTGAATCTGCAGCAGTTAAGATAGACTCAAGTGAGCGCAGCTTTCACGTTTTTAGCCGTTATTTTTTTTACTTCATTGTTCTCATGTACAACAATACTAAATTCTGGACAATTTAGAGCGATAAATTAGTCTGTCTAAAACTTGGGTAAAATGGGTATACTCATGTGTTTATCTAAGCAATAAAAGCTTTTATTCACGTGTTTCGGTCCATAAGTGCAATAAAATATATAGCCCAAGCACGTTTTACGTGCTTATGTTTTTAATGGTTTTTAAATTATTTTACTGTTAAATTTTACCTTACTTATCATTCCTCAGGTTTACCTTTCGTCGTAATTCACACATTTATCGGTATTTCTATTTCTTGTTTTTTTCTCTGCAGAGGAATGTTTCCTCGGAAGATGCAAAGGCGCCTCCATTTATTAGGGCCTTAGTAACAGTTGTTTGTGAAGGAGCAATGGAGAGAGGTAATTTTGTTTATAAACGTTCCTTTCTTTGCACTCTGTTTCGCTACGTTTCGGTATTTGTCACATTACGTCCTATTAGTGCTTTTTTTCTTTACACAGGCTCCATATTCTCTGATTCTCCATTTTGTACTATGTAGGCTCGTTTTCTGTTGAGAATTTTCCATTTTTATAATAACACAAATCATGTCTAATTGCTTATGCCATGCTCATGCTGGATTACACGTTTGCTGGTAACCCAGTAGCTTGCATTGTGTCTCAAAAACTAGTTCAAAAACCAGTAATTTAAACAAAAATGATAAGAATCCCAACTGGGCGGAGACAAACCAGTTGGCTGTTCATTGCAGTGGCCGAGGGATTGAATTCGGGACTATGTAGAAACAAATCCATCCTGCGGTAAGGCGGGGATTGAACTCGAGGCCTCTAAATTTCACGTCCAGCACTCTAACCACGCGTTCACTCTGTCACTCTGCCTCCCTTTATCAAAAACCAAGGGAGCAGGAGTTGCACATGGTTAATGTCAATGTCATGGAGGTATTTTCGTCTGTTAAGTTTTTTGTTCATGAAAACGTAGTGCGTACTTCCTTTGTGAATGGGCTCATACGCTGGGGTAAAAATCTGCCATGTAATGCAGTACTTTTAATGATGTGTCTGCAAAAATAAGAAAAAACCATTAATGGTAGTGCTTCCTGATGAAATTTTGTTGATGTCTTGTTCATATCGTTATAGGAGTATTTATGGTAAGGCGCTAAGTAATGACTAAAGCACAGAATTGAACTAACACAGCAATATCCTCGTGACCTTGCCCCTTTAAGACTGGTTCACATTTTTGCTTTCCTTCTTTAACAGAAGATGGAGGCGTCTGCAAATGTAACATTAATATCCTGAAGGAGAGAAAGCCTCTCCTTCAAAAATACATTGATGACAACGCTAGTTTGGAAATCCAAGCTCTTTACGCAGTGCAGGCACTTTTTGTTCAGTTTGATCATCCTCCAAGTAAGAATGATTAATGAGCTAAAATTTCCTTACTTCTACACATAGAATGCTTATTGAAACAGTTAGAAGTTGTTTAAAGGAAGTTTCACAGTTTGGTCCACGCGCGAGATGTGCATTTGCCCATTGTCTTTCGACTACTTTTTTTAAACCAGTTGGAAGCGAGTGACAGTACGTCTAAGGTATTCAGGCTCGTTATAAAGTTGCAGATCGATCCCCATTTATCTCTGCTGTTCCCCCGAGACGTAATGTATATGATGAGAATGGTAAGATTTCACAAGTACTTGACTTGACTTGTCACAAGTATATGGCAAACAAACTGTAAACCTTAGAGCTCTCTAGTCGGGAAAGAACAAATTTAATAGCTGTAGTCAGCACTGTTTCATTGCCACTGTCAGAACTTTTTAATGAATGATAGTTGGAAAAGCGATCACCTGGCGTAACGTCATAGATTCGCCAATAAACAGTTACCTACAACCTACAGTTAGCAATGACGTCAGTACAAAAAATGTAACCTTTTCTTTTCAACTTTTAAACAGACAGTTTTGAAGTATTCAAACCACAACAATGAAAGAGTGGCTACCGTAAAAAACGTCATTTATCATCGACAAACGATTAAGATTGGAAATTGGTTACGAATTCTCTTGAACATTATAAGCTTCAGTTTTTTGTATCAATCGTAAAAGCGTTATTCTGTTAAAATTAACCTTAATATGTCTCTCCTTTTCTGTATGCAGGTTTTGTCAAATCCTATTTTGATAGTTTATATGATGAAAAGATTATAGCAGAAGATTCTTTCAAAGCTTGGGAAAACAGCTCCGACGAAGAACCCGGCAAAGGTGTGACTGTTACTGCCGCTTCCGAGTTTTTCCGCTGGCTCAAGAGTGCCCCAGAGGAGACTGGGGAGTCTTCAGATGAAGTGAGTAACAAGGAAGGGCAACAAATTAGCTCAGCTGCTGCTGACGAAGTCAAACCTGAAAGAAAAGAGAAATCAGAGGAAACTGCAAAAGAACCTGTCAGTGATGTGATGAAATTTAATAGTGAGTATGTGTTATAAATAGTCAGCTAATAGAATTTGGTTTTTTTTTGCAGGTTGATTTCTCTCTTTCCATGGGTAGCCCGGCACAAATGCGGTATCACCGCCCTCAACAACCATTGCAAGGACAATTTGCCCCAGTGTCTGGCCCTTCACAGCCTCAAGGTTCTCCTTATTTTCAACCGACAACTGTTTACCAGGTGGGACAACCCACCCCACCTATGTACATTGTCAGAGCTCCTTCAGGGCCCATGACGGGAATGCCACAATATCAAGCTCAAACATTTGAGCCCCGTGCACGGGAAAGAAAGATAATCCAGATAAAGGATCCAAATAGTAACAAGGATGCGACGCAAGAGATTCTCAACAGACAGCCTTCTGGGAGTTTAACAGGAAGCACTGGTGGTACCCCTAATAACATTACTCCAGACATTTCAGGTCAGAGTAGTAGCTCAAGCACCCCACCCTTGATATTTCAGCAGCAAACTGAGACAAATGTCAGGGCACAGTTTGCAGCGCAGGTTGCAGCAACACTAGCTAATTCAGAAGACAAGCCTAAAAAAACAGAAGTTATTATTCAGGAAGCGCCAGTAAATAATAAGGCAGTTGTGGATACTGTTCAATTATAACAGACAACAGTTAGTCAGAAAAATGAAGTCATGGTAAAAGAAACAAGAACGAACCCTACTACTGGGAGAGATACCCAGTTAGCTGAAAAGCCTATTGAAAAGCCTCTCGAAACACATCCTAAAGAAGTGCATGTGAAAACGCAAACCAAAGAAGCTGTGCAGCGCACTAAACTTAGTGAGGGAGTTTCACCCATTGAAACAAAGTCAAATTTGCTTAATAGAAGTTTGACATGAGAGCTCGTACTGTTATTTGATGCCTCCCAAAAAAACTAGCGTCATTTGTTTCCTTCGAAAATGTCACAGAAGGAACATTTTTTTCTATCTTATTCAGACCTTTCTTATGGACGAAAACTTGATTTTTTTATAACCGCCTAATCTTTGACATTTCCCTATTTTCAAATTAGCGTTGAGATCAGGTAAGGATTTTGGTGCGTAGTTGACCTGATTTGTTAGCCTGGCATGTGCTGAGAGCTTCGATCTCATACTCCGAGTTGTTATTGCATTAGTGCAGTTGTAATAGTGTCCATTCTGTTCGTTGCCTTTCTATTCCCTTATCTCAAATTAAATTTAGTTCTATTCTACGTTGAATTCACAAAAAGGAAGAAATTCTTTTGTCCTTCAATTAAGGCAAGCGTCTTCTACTGACTCGCCCCAGTCGTCTTATAGACTCCTATTGATATTAGTCAGCTTACGCAACAGGAAGGCAAACGTTTGCGTGTGATAAACGTGATGGGGCCATTACAATGCACTGAAGTTACCAAAAAACGTTTTCTAGGGATATAGTTGCTTTGTAAGTAGAGAAGTATTTTAGTTTTTGTTAGCGCCAACTTGAAAGGAAAATGAAATTTAATGGCAAGACACCAGGACAAACACAAATTCAAAAAAAAACTTTGCAAACCCCATGATTGGAAGGAAATTTGCTTTTACGAATAGAAGCAGTACCCAGATCTTGGTAGTGCTTCTGTTTAGATGAAAAGTTGCTTCATCCAATCACCCATCCCAGTGCTGAAGTTCAACCTAAGTTTGATTCTATTCTTGCCTTCGTTAACTTCAACAGAAGTAATTAATCTAAATTCTTGAAAACAATTGCAGCTAAGAAGAAGAGGAAAAAACGGAAACATCGTTTGAAGAAAACAGAAAAGCGATCCTCCATTCCTCCGGGAATGGATATGATGGAAGCTTACACAGAAAAGCCCGTCCAGAAGGAGGTATTTACTGGCAAACAAAAAAATGTGTGTCTTCATACATTAATATGATAGTAGTTCTTAGAATTTGAAGATTTTTTTCATATCAAAGTCTCCCCTATAACTTGTGTCGAAAAGCGCTGTTGGGAACTAGTCGAGCCGTTTTCTGATCACCCCTGCCGACTAAATGGGTGCCTACTAGTTGAGCACGGTCGAGCACTTCTGTTCCTGATGCTTGTTCTGTTACAATTCCAGACCAATCCTTTATGACAGATAAAACCTGAGAGGGGCTACCAGACATTAAAGCTTGTTTCTGTTTTAGCTTTAAGTAACTTGAAGTCAACTAATAGCAGCAAAAACATTGAATCCGTCACGTAACACGAATCTGAATGATTAGTGAGCGCAATAAAGAAATTCAGTCCTAAATTGTCAAAATATGACATAAACAGGTCAGGTCAGGTCTGCTCAACTTAACATGTATTTTTTTTTCCTTTTTTGCATTTTTCTCTGCTCTGTTTGACTGAATCGTGTTCATTCGGGTATGGTTTCAATTGATAAAACTTTTCGCCCCGCACTAATTCAATGTCAAAGCCCTCTATGACCATTAAAATTGATTATGTCCCAAGCCGTAGAAGGGACAATTAAGTTTAAGGGATGAATGAGTTATTATGGAAATACAGTCAACTCTCGCCTTGCGGACATCCCGCTATAACGGACACCCCGATAATAAGGACAGCAGCTAAATCCCCAGCAAAAACAAATTACAGATGTTTGACTGAAATCAACTCCCGCTATTACGGACACTCGCTAATGAGGACACTAACTCGAGGTCCCCACAGTGTCCGCTATAAAGGGAGTTGACTGTATACCAAAACGCGAAGCGTCGAGGTACATATCTAGCGCTATGAACCGATCCTGAGGGAGATAGTTGTTTTAGTATTTACCAAATCACTTGGATTAAAATCAAAAAGGAACTTTTTGTAAATAAAAGACGTCACGTTGTTAGAGTTTGTTTACGTACGTTTCAACGGACAGTGTTTCGGGGATCATTTTTTTTTACGATTTTGTTGCAAATCCAGCGAGAAAATTTTTTTCTACCGACCAGTAAACAGCGACAAGCCAAATTTTGTCTTTCTCTTGGTATTTTTGACGCAGCTATACTTTAGTTACCGCTAAAATTTCATCTTTCGAAACTGTCGCGAAACGAGAAGCCATTTTGAATCCCGCCCCAAAACAGTGAATATCCAAGGATATTCCGAGTTACGGGAGCAGATAAGAACGCGCGAAAATTGCTATCCACTGATTTGGTGAATACTAAAGACAAATATAATAAACAGATCTTATTCATTTTCTAAATTTTTGTCCACCTTCATCAAAGCGTACTTGAAAGTTTGTAGGTGTTTTTGCTTACAAGCTCTTGCGTCGGTGGTAAATTTGAAATGTTATAAAACGAAACTATTTATATAAAAGGAATGTGTCTATAAAGAAGGAATAACATTGTTCAGACTCTTTTATGTCTTGAATGGTATAGGGACCTGGTGAAACTGAGGAGCAAGCTGCTGAAGAAACAACGCAGACACTTCAAGAAGAAGCAGGTGAAGAGGAGCAGTCTGAAGAGGAGACATGGGGAGATAGAGAAGGTAGTAAATTAAGATCGCTTTAACCCTTTTACTCTCAGATTGAATGATGGAGTCTTTGAGGTTGTTGGTAGTCCTGTTACATGGTACAATTTGTCTTTCCGCGTGTTAACAAATGAAATTTGGAATTTCTGTGGAATTGTGACTTTAACCACTTTTGGGGGGAAAAGGGTGAATGATGGATTGCGTTGGTATTAGTGATGCACTGAGGTGATAAGCTTCAGACATAACCAATCACCTAAACTGCCTCACTGAAATTAGTAAAACAGGTTTTCGCATCTCTCATCAGATAAGGGAGTTGTTTAGATATTGCTTTAATTTGAATGAAGGAATTCAGAGGGAATAGTACAGTATGTGCTGTTGACATTGTGAACTTTTTCACATGATATGTTTATTCAGGTGCACTGTTTTTGTAACCATTCTCTCCGGCTTTGACGGTCATAATTAACAGACCTGATGAAACCTTTAGACTTCCATGCAACTGTACTGTAATATCCCTGCTTATTCAAACAGAAAGCTTATGAGAAAAAGGAAACTATCCTTACATATCTTTATTTTTGTAATAGCAATTCTTATCCTTAGGATATCTTGTCGTTAGGTCCCAGCAAGCATTTAACTTTACGAGAGCTCGGGATGGAACGATATTTATCGGACATGAGAACACAGTTGAGGGAAATGAAAGAGAAACTGGAGGTAAAAGATGAGCAACTGAAAAGGACAGAAGACCAACTGAGAGAGAAAGATGAGCAACAAGAAGCTTTGCAAAGACAGCTGACAACTTTGCGAGCAGAGAAAGAAACGAAAGAGAAAGAAAGTGCAAAATTCCAAGAACAGCTCGGTATAAAGCTGAAGGAACTTACTGACTTGGAAAAAGAGTTTAGAGATAGCGTCCAAGATCACCATCTAGATTTCTCTCTGGAGAGACGTCGATTTCTTTTCAATTCATTTATACTTAGGGTCAATTACTGTGCAGACTGGATAATTTCTCGGCATGAAATTGAAATTATGACTGATAGAAGCCTCGGAGAGGGAGGATACGGAATGGTTTTTAAAGGAAGATATCGTGGTTTTGTCGTTGCAGTAAAGACACTTAAAGACTTTACTTTAAATGCTGGAGGACGTGATTTGTTTGAACGCGAAATGGACATTGCTTCAAGGTGCCGTCATCCATGCCTGTTGCAATTCATTGGTGCCACTCAAGACGAAACGCCTTTGCTTGTCACAGAGTTAATGGAATTGAGTTTACGAAAGTTGTTAAGGGAACGACAGCTTTCCGAAAAAGAAATCGTTGTCATTTCTCTGGACGTGGCTCACGCCCTTAACTACCTTCATAACAGAAAAATTGTTCATCGTGACGTCAGTAGTGCTAATGTGTTGCTCTGGAAACAAAATGACCAGTGGCGAGGCAAACTGGGAGATTATGGCACTGTTAAATTCTTGCAAGAGGTGATGACAAAGTCTCCTGGAGCTATGATTTACAGCGCCCCTGAAGCAGGAAGTCCTTTCAACCAAACAGTTAAGGTTAGTGTTGTAGATTAACTTGTTGATAGAAATACCTGTCACACAGCAGAGTGATTTCACTTTTAAAATATTAAATAAACAGCTCAATCAGCTTCTACTTACATGGAGTTACCGAATGTCACAGAGTCTGCACAGTCCTTTAAAGGGATGTCTGTTTTTAAGGTTCCTCTGAAACAAAGGTCGGTAAACTAACTGCTCTGAAAGTGAAGAAAGGATGCACCTATGTCTACCCCCTGTTGTAGATACGGGAAATTTAAAAGCTGACATTTGTATTTTAAGTCTTACCAGCGAGATGTCCCTGAATGTCTTTACCTCATTACTTGAAAAGGACTTCTTGCCCATAGAATTTTTTCTTAGAATGGAGAGAATCAGTGAAGGAAGTCATTTGTGAAAGGAAATCAAGTTTTTACCGTCCATTTTAATAGAGAATGTACTTCAGGCGAAGTTACCTTTGTTAGCCGTATACTTATTTAACACAATAATTTGGTTTTAACAACTGAGTCAATTTTAAGACTTAAAATTAAAAGTTAGAGGACTAAATCAATAGCAAGCTCCTGAGTTTCAGTCTCTCACCGACACAGCACACAACTTTCTCTTAAAACAAAACCCTATTTGTTTTCTTTATTTCTTTGTGCGCGTGACACGACGTTTCAGAGGGAATTACTTGCAATAAAGGGCACAAAAACAATAAGCTCGGACAGCAATGTTTGTGCGCATCCTCCAGACTTCAATTCTTGCCGTATTGTCACTCCAAGTAGCCTTCTAGCGCGTGCAGTTCACAGCCATTGCTTTCCCTTGACTTAAGTTTAGTTCAGTTTCTCTCTAAAATTATTCCCACCTTTACGGACAGATAGAGCGAACAAATCAAGATGGAAAGGTTAGAAAGTTCTCATTTTTTTACGAAAAACTAAAAACAAAACAACCGGCACTGCGCGATATGTTGCGTCATTTCCATAGTCTATAATCTCATAGACCATATAGCTCTCGACCAATCAGCGCGCGAGGATTCGCTCAGTTATTGTAAAATACTCGTTAGGTAACTGTATGAATGGTCACAAGTCGAATCAAGTTCCTTAATAGGCCAAAACATGATAACTGTTAGAGAAAATTGGCTCTAGGGGCGTTATCTGTGATATTTTAGGATAACAAACACCAAGGTCATTTCCAGTAACAATGATCTGTGATGAGGCAATCAAGATAATCTGAAAACATACGCTCTCCTCAATAGATTTGGTGATCTCAAATCTTTTTGGCTAATCTAAGTAACTTTAGTGAACGTTTGCAACCACGATCGATTTACCTCTCGTGTCGTCATCCTGATTTTAATGCTTCGAAAATGACTGTGATGTACACCTTGTGCGGAACGCCAGGGCCAAAATTAGAAGCACTCGAAAATATCATGTAGAATTGATTGTTGAAAAAGGATTTTAATTCGATTAAAAATTTGGCCATGTTTTTCATTTTTTCTTAGAGACCTTACCTACGGGATTGAAACCTATTTAACGCTCTAAAAAATGGGAGAGAAACAAATTGAAAAGTGGCCAAACTGCAAAAGTTGCCCCTTTAGAAAAGCAAGGGTAGTTTCCGATCTGCAAGCAAATAGTTTTAGGTTCTTTTTGTTTGAATAGGACCAGAAATCAACGCTTGACCACGTTTTTCTGCAAGTTGTGCAACGACGAATGGGTTACGGAAAATACGGGGCATACGATATCATTTAAATGGAAAAGGTAAAACATGTTTTTTTTTTTTTTCTGTTTAGATTGATGTTTACAGTTTTGGCGTCCTCTTCTGTGAAATGTTTACAACGAAAATTCCATTTTCTTATGAACGTAAAAAACACGTTGACCTTGTCCCCAACAGGCCAGGCGGGGAGTTCCAGGATCTGGTGCTGTGGTGTACAGAAGAAGATCCAGCAAGGAGGCCAAGTATGGAAACAGTTATAAAGAGATTGGAAACTTTTATAACGACAATTTAGAATTTGTTAGAAAAGTCGTGTTAGAACGACATTATTTGATTGTATTTTTTAATTTAGAAACCTTTTTACGATTGTAAGAATTAGACTTAATCATAAAAATTTAGAGAAATTTATACAGATATTTTACAGATATTATTAAGCCTTGGCGGTAGGCCGGAGATAATATTTTCGCGAGGGAAGCGAAATTCGGAAGTTGATTCCCAGGAAAAATTGCGAATCGTGTGACAGGCGACAGTTAGGCTCCATTTAATCGGGTCTTATAACTTGGTTGTTTTTATAACTTAATTAAAAGCCTACATCACAACTCTACCTGCCCAATTAAAATTGCTTAAAAACAAACTCATTATGGGAGAGGTGTGCGACCCCTACAAAAAACAAAGCGACTGTATCTTAAGTCCACTGGTTTTAATCTTTATTAACGACCCACTTTTCGCATTTAAAGATACATTATCTGACCCTTCCGTTTTGCCAAACCGGTGCAAAGTAAAATCTCTGTTCTATGCAGACGATTTAATTATTTTATGGCAATCCAAAACAGGATTACATATTAAATTGCCTCGATAAACTGTCTTTATACTGTACTTCATGGATGATGAAAATCAATCCCCGGAAAACTAAGATTATAGTTTTTCAGAAACGTGGGAGGAAAAATGATTTTCGCTTTCTTGTAGATAATCAAATTATTGATGTTTTACGTGAATACACTTACTTGGGAACTCGAATGTCCTCGTCGGGAAATGTCTCAGTGTTATGTGAACATCTCAAGGAGAAAGCTCTTCATGCCCTCCTCAGCTTGAGACGTCACACAAATCTTAGCACACTAAAAGCAGCTCTTGTCCGTAAGATATTGGCTATATAGTGTGGCTACTCTAAAATTCGAGTTGAAATAAAGGTTATGTATGTATGTACTGTATGTACTTGTATGGTCATGCGCGTAAAGGTCATTGTTGTTGATGTGGTCAAATGTCGGCAACGTTGATGAGTTCCACGTGTCCCTCGTGGGTAAGCGGCTTATGACTCCATCTCATTTTTGGACAGTAACTCACCGCATGTAATGAGCTTATAGCATACACGGGGTCATCTTGTGTAGCACGCTTGGGACAAATCAAAAGAGTGAAGCATTGTTGCGATAAACAAACTTTAATTACCTTAATCAATGCCCTAGTTTTTAGTAAGCTTTTTTACTGTTCGTCTGTCTAGAGTAACACAGCTGAGACTAATCTTACAAGATCCAAGCTGTTCAAAATTTCGCTTGTAAGATTGTTTCTGCGGCCAAAAAGTATCATCATGTAACTCCTATATTAAAAGAACTTAAGTAGTAACCTATAAAGAAACAGCTATACCCTGGAAAAGCTAGTTAAACGGTATGGCCCCTGGGTACTTAACGGATAGTTTGTAAAACGATGCAGCATTCCACGCCGCCAAGCCAGGAGTTCTCAGTTACTGGATATTCTGCTCCTTAAAACAACCACTGGTCAGCGTTCACTTTATTTCCAAGGGGTTATGCTTTGGAATGCCCTAAGTGATAGACTCAAAATTTGCAAAGACGTTAAGACTTTTAAGCTTGCACTGGGAAAAAAGCTGCTTGAGGAATTTTTTACCAATTAGCATGATTAGATATCTTAGGCTATTTTGGGCAATTTAGATATTTTTATAATTCATCTCCAAAATAGAGATTAGTTCTTATGTCATTTATATTTAATTTTTAGATGTGATATGTTTGTATTTACTTCTGAAAAGCCCTGATGAGGGATGGAGTTTAATAAAGTATGTATCTGTCTGGATTTATGAAAACATGGCTTCAGTGAATGTCTAAAGGCCCTATTCTAAGTGTGTCCTTGGTACCAAGACTTTGACCCTCCCCACCCAGGACAATGGGTGACTGTCTGCACCTCCCACTGAGCTCTGCAATTATCATGATAATCATTCTCAGCAGAGGCCTGATTCAGCTGGCTAGGGCAAATTAAGACCAAGGTACTCGCCAGTCAAAGCCTGCACTGAACACTGCTGATTACTGAAGGGGTTGTGTCAAAACAGCCCCCTCCCAACCCACTAGTTTTGACCCCAAGGCCTGAACCACCCACCCACTGTTAGGGCAGTCCCTGGGCTATCCAGCTGTACCGACCAAGACGCCAAGCCCCCTACTTTTTTGGACACTGGGCCGCGCCCGGCGCCAGGCGAAAACCTAGTGGCCACGTTTTAACG